TCATCGGGCAAGGCTTCGCCCACGGCCCCGGCTGTGCTCTCCGGACCGCCCACACCGCCACGTCAAACGCAGAGCAAGCAGGGCACTCCCGCTGCGACGCCCACGCGCCAAGTGGCGTCGCCCAAGGATCAGATTCCACCCGATACCGCCTACGAAACCGCCAGTAACATTTACGAGGAGATCCAGGAGGATGTGCCCGCACCACGCCATCCGCCGCCGGCTGGACCGCCGCCAGTGATAGGAGCACAGATGGGGCCGCCGCCACCGCTGCCGAATAGAAGGGGCCCACCACCCATACCAAATAGGAGCGGCAACGCTCCACCGCTGCCCACGCGTCCCGCCAACAACTGAGCACCAGGCTACGCACACGGGGTTCGTTTAGCATTTGTAGTGTTTAATATTCCTCTAAAAGTTTTCCTTTCAGCTCGCTGTCTTGCACTCCGATTGCATTCCGAATCGCTGTATTTAATGTTATATATACTCGAATATATTGGGCCACCCATGGAGGAGAACTCCCGGCAATATCTGCACTTCGCATGGAATCAACATATGTTACTAGTGTTACCTGTTTGTTTGTTTCGATAGTTTCTAGCCGGAATCAAACTGAAATTGAAAGTAAACTAATCAGTTCCACCTAGTTAAAGCCCAAACGACCCCGTTCTGTTACACTTTTTGTACTTGTTTACCGCTGGCCAGACGTACTCAACCCAATAGCACCGGATTTGCCGAGGACGAACAAATAATGAATTATATAAGCGACAAAGTATTACACTACTCTGCATAAATGTAATGTTTAAATGAATTATAGCCGTACTAGTCAAATTATGAAATAAAAGTATAAACACTGGAGCAGCAATTCGAACTCTGTAAACGATTGCGATATGAACGATGTACTTAAACATATTTATCCATTGTTATTGAACAACTATTGACAAAAATTACCTATTATTCCACATTGTTAAACTATCGTTGCAGTCGGTCAATTTGAGGCTACACTTAGATTTGCGTTTCAGTTGCCTACAAAAGTATATCAATGAAATTGAGAACAAATTGCAAATTGCTCTGTTCAAACGTTAAAGTTACGCCTAAGATTAAAAATAATCCCGAATCGAATGAAAACCAATTAGCATACAACACAATAAACAAGTTGGATCGCTGTAGTCGCTACTCCAACTGCATACTCGCTAAAACATTGGGTCTTAATTTTATATGTTCTACAGATTTGTACAGTTTTTGAGGAAGTTTTAAAATGGTTTCTTTTTGAACCACATTAAAACAATAATTTTGTAATGCTCCGACTAACAATAATTTATTTAATTCGATTTCAGATCAGCAAGTTGACTCAACGCAAACAGAAACTTAACACCGGAAGCTGGAACTCTGAGGAAGCCTGGGAGTGCTGAAGCCACTAGAACCACTTGGGCAGGGCGTCGTGGGGCAGGTTCTTGTGATTGGGCAGCGCTGTGCAAGGACGCTGTTGGCGCCAGAACTCCTGCCGCTTGTTGAGGAACTCCACCGCCTCTCGCGCGTAGGCGGATATGCTCTCCGTGTGGGTGTCCGCACGCACCAAGTCCGGATGGAGCAGTAGCTTCTCCAGGTACTCCTTGTCCACGCACAGCTCGCCCAGCAGCTTGCGGGCGTTTCGTCGCTCCAGGTCCGCTCGACTTGGTTTCTGGCGAGTCCTGGCACTGCTTCCGGTTGCTCCCGCTGGCTGAGACTTGGGCGTGTCTTCTCCGGACTTCCGAGACTTACCACTCTTGGGAGCGGATGAGGACGGCGCTGCTCCCACCGGACCCGGCTTGCTGCCGATCGTGTTCTCGATGGCCTCTTGCGTCTTTTGAACGCCCAGACGGAAGAGGGCCAGTTCCGGACGGGCTCGCAATCCGCGGTGGAAGAACATCAGACTCTGCTCGAACTGACCCAGGTAGTAGAGCGACTCGGCCTTCTGGTAGATGGCCCGAATGTTGTTCTTGTCCTCCCCCAGAGCCGTCTCCGCATCCTGCAGAGCTTTGGAGGCCTCGCCCAGCAGCAAGTAGCATTTGCTGCGCGAAATCAAAGCGTTGATGTCGGTGCTATTTAGCTCGAGGGCCTGAAAAAGTGAACAACATTAGGACTCTGTCTTTAACTCAACGAAATAACAATGATCATTAATTATAAACGAAATACTTAGACATAATTTAAGATATCGACTCTGAGCTCAGTGTTCTTCAACTTCCTTCTAAACTTTATAGCTTAGTAATTTGTATAATCTTAACCACGTAGCACCTTGCAAAAGAAGTGGATGGCGTTTTCGGGATTGGCGTTCTTGATCTCCTTGAGGCCTAGTGCGATCACAGAGCTGATGTCCGCCTCGTCGGGGATGAGCAGGGCCTCGTTGCGGTCCTGTTTCTGCTTGATCTGCAGACTCTGCTTTATGTCGAAAGCGCCGGCGCTGACGGCGGCCGCCCGATCCTTGTCTGTGTAGAAGTCCACGAAGTTCTCCTTGGGCTTCTTCTTCTTGGCGATCTGCTCCTCGATCTTCTTGCGGGCAGCCCTTAACTCGGCCTCGATGCGATTGCCCCGCTTACCCCCGGCACCGTCGCCACCCGCTCCACCCCCGGCTCCTCCGTCATCCGCCTGCTTGCCATCCCGTCCGGCACCACGCCCACCGCGACCATCCGTCGACTCACGCCTCTCCCAGATGGGCGGCTTATGGGAGCGACCCTTGGAGCGTCGATTGGTCTCCTCCTGGGACTCCTCCTCCGCCGCCGCTCCCGTGCGGATGAAGCTCTGCAGCAGCTCCTGCTCCTTGTCCACAGCAAGGATGGTGTTCAGCAAGTTCGACATACTCTTGTGTTCTCCTTACGCAACCGCTGGTAAAAATCTCAGGCGTCCAACTTTGGAACAAGGAGTACAAATCCAACTACTGACCAAATAGCTCGCCGATTGATTGGCGCAATGATGGACTGTTGCCCAGGAAACTGGCGCTTTCAAATGGGTTAGCAATCGATAACAAAACAACCATGTGTGCCAGGTGCCAGGTGCCAAAAATCAGGTGTCGTGTCTTTGGGCGGTGTGAATGCCATGAACAATGGCCTCCATATGGGTCGCGACCTTGAGCACATCCTGCTCGAAGGTGAAGCTGGATGCAAGTGATGGGACGTCCATCTTTCCCTTCACTTTTTACGCATGTACGAGTGTAAGATAAGGCAAAAGGTGCTTATGGTGCGTATGAGTAATTAAAAAAATTAAAAATTACTCATACGCAGTATAAGCCACTTTTGTGATTTTGGTTAGCCTAGTTGGTTTTTTGAAATTCTGGTTTTCGGTTAGCATTACATTTTTGTTATCATAGAGATCATAGACGTGTGTGTCGGCTGCTGTTTCACGCTGTACGTGTGGCGGAAGTGGCTGAGCAGAGGTATTTCCTATGTCCGCTCCACAGGTTAGAGTTCAGTAAAACAAAACCACGTTGTGAATGTCAAACTGTGGCCTGTTTTGGGGATCTGTAACTTAGCTGAGCTTTTTAAGCTTTAGTGGGGTTTCTTTCCAATCATGGGAGCCCTATTGGACACCATACTTATTTTGCTACCTAATCTGATTGTGATCCATTTTTAAGTCATCCTGAGATCATTTAAAAATAAGACAAATAAAGTCCCTTGGGGACTGATAATTAACATTATGTTAATATTTGTAGGTTAGTAATACAATTTAATAAATTTTAATATATTTATACGTTGAGTTCCTTATTAATTATTGATTAAGCTTGTAAAAGGAATGATAATACAATACAAAAATATATAATAAATAATTTAATCTATTTTTTCTCAAAAGCCTAGGTGTATTTCACAAGACTAGGTATTGCAAACTTAATTTGGTAATTCTGAAATGAATATTTTTTAATATTCATCCATTTAAAATTGTAAAAAAATTAATCTTTCCTATTTCAATTATGTGGAATTTGGTAGATGGTCGATTTTAATAAAAGCACTATGTTATATATATAACAATAATGTCTTAAAAAAGACTTTCGGAATAGTTTTTTAGAAAATAATATCTTAAACTCTCTGGATATTGGACGAAAAAACTAATAACAAATTTGACGCACCTGATTGTAGCCGAACAGGGCTTTTTCGTAGGCCCGGACTTTCATGTGGTTATTGGATTGATCGCATAGCAATTTAATGTTGGTCTCGATCTCTTCGAGAGTGTCAACCTTTGGTTTCTTGCGCGGCATTTTGAATTTGGTCTTGTGGAGTTATTCTAGAAGTAAGGGGATCGCTCACTAAATGGTAGTTTCACATTTTTCACTTTTGGGGCATCGAGTTCGTCCTCCGCCTTATAAAATTGACGTCTGTTCGCGACGCTTGTCGTTGGGCAACTGAATTGCCTGCCCTCACTTTACATTTTGTTAGACTTGGGGTCGGCTCGAGACCCATCAACCCACCAAACCACGAGCCATCACTAGCCCCAGCTCCTGTTTCTGGCTTTTCTTTACTTTGTAAGCAAGTTTACATGCGCTGACAAGCAGCAATAAACTTCAATAAAGTTTCATTAATATCTCAACAAACCCTTCTGGGCACTGGGAGAAAGGCCCGCAATAACTATATCATAACTATTTATTGTCAATATAAAATAAGGAAATATTTTATATCATAATTTTTGATGATAGATAATAATAATAGATTCGATTTGGCACAATAGGCATTTGAAAAAGTTATGTGATGATTAAATAGAGCCCGTTTTATAACCAAGCCTTGGGAACAAGGGGGAACTATTTTTTTCCAGTGCAGGGACTCTGGATCGCTGGGGAAGAGGGGCCACCGCATTTACACGCAGTTAATTGAAGCCATCAGAATTAAACCCGAACTCGGGACAGAGGAGTCACGCACCCAAAACCAGCTGATAAGGAAGGCCAACGGCAGAGTCAGACAATCGATTTGCAGCAGGTGAAACCCATTTGGTAGCACTACCACTGAAAACCAGCTGTACGGATAGTGGTAGGGGGAAATACAGTCGCCAGTTAAGGACATTTATTTCGACAAATTTATGAACCCCAACAAATTGCTATTAATTTTCCGGTATTGTTTTTAGAGTAAATAAATAAGCTTGATGTTTGAGCAGGTCGTAAAGATGGAGCACGTGAGGGAAGGTGGGGCTTGGCCTGGGATTGGAGTTCCTTGTGCCTGGCTAGAGGGAGTTGGTTCCGTTCCAGGACTTTTTGGTCTTGCGTGTGCCATCCTCATTTCGCCAGCGGCTGGCAACCTTCGCGGTGGCGTGACGAAACAATTTTATTTGTCCTGCCCTCGTAACGGTGGCCTGGCCTCAGGAAGGCGGATGAGGAGGTGGATCCGGAGGTGGGCCGCCATTTGTGGCCTACTCCCCTCCTTTCGGTTCCCTCGCAGATGGGCTGTCGGAAATTATGATATTTGCATTTGCTCAAGTTGCTCCCCTCGGAGGAGGAAGAGGGGAGCAGACCTTAATGCCGACTCGCGTTTACGACAACTCCAATTGAGCAGACACGACCTCCGATTGTAATGGCTTCGTTTCCAGATTGGATCAGCCCGCATGCAAGGCACCAAGCGCCCAACCTGTTGAGTGCGGAATGGATTCGCCTCCACTCGAATGGGGCCACCTCGCCTGCCTCAAATGGAATAAAACATGATGAGATGTTACTCCTTTTTCCTACGGCATATTTTCAATATTATATTATAAACTCCGCATACGTTTTCTTTTAACTAATAATAACAAGATACGTTGTTCTTTTTATTTTCTAAGCGCCCTTAGCCTTTTTTCCAGCGTCTCCTCATGTATTGACACAAGCATCGCATGGTGGAGAAATGTACAACTAAAGTTGGGAAAAAGACAAGTAAATGGTGTTAGGGAAATTGTGTAGATTTTACAGGATTCTTTACAATTTTTGGGTAAAAAAATGTATGGTTGCTATCCGAAGAACATTCCGTTCTCAAACTTACTTGTAAACAATAGAACCGGGAGGGAAGCCATTGCGAATGCATAGCTCAATAACTTTCCACATTTAAAAGCAACCCACTTGTTCTGTAATAGATAATAAATAAATATTAAGAGAATATGTTCCGATCAAAAATATGTTTTAATAAAAACAGAGTGCAAACAATAGTGCCAGCCTATAACGAATAGTACTGAATCAAAACTTGGTGTGGTGACTTTGTGTATATAACATTTGGGACCAAATCTCGCTAACTTAAAATGTGTAGAGAGTGTGGAAGATTGAGCTAAAATAAATCGAAGTCATTTTTTTTAAATCATGGCAATATAATATTAATTTTAAATTAAGTTGCCATGACTTTTTAAAGTAAAGGGACCCAACAACCAAGTACTCATAAATAAAATGACTTACGCATTCCATACCGATGTATATTAATGCACCGGCTAAAAGATAAGACAATCCCAAAATCGCAAAGGCTATAGACAACATTCTTTGATGCAATTGCATTGTACGTGTCAGTTTCAATTGTTCGGCAATAAGAATCAGCGTATATCCACTCCCGATTAAAGTTCCCCATACCATACACCATATTGCATAGAAGCAAGTACACTGTTCAGGGGATACACTCTTGACCCGACACATTAGGAAACCGAATAATTCAACTTTGTAGGGACTACTACTTTAAATTTCAAGAGCTTGTTTTCAAAGATTACTTAGACTGAATGAATCAGTATCGCTTCACAGCAAAATGTGAGGGAAAAATTTATTTTATGGCATGGAGCACAGAACCAGAACATACTATATTATTAATATTATTTATTGAGAGCATTGAGATATGGTTTTCAATATGCCTGACCTCGACGCTACTTGACTTATTTCGTTAAAAAGTTAAAAATGAATGGTAACAAAGTCTCTTTATAATTTCCGTACTTCACGTCCGGTATAATCAAAGGTTTCCTGTTTAAGGGAATGTATGCATTTACACCGTTTGTATGTCTGCTATTCTTGGGATCCATTGAATTCTTAGCTTTTTCCACCGATTCTCCACATATGGACAACTATATGCATAAGGGAGTGAAAAATTACATACTCTGAAACAAATCTGTAGAAATCTTAGCTTATATTGGATGATAGTGTACCAACATACATACCTATACAATGCATACGCCAGAGGAGTGACTAACCTGGTGGATATATGAAAAAACTCCCATAATAGCATCAACGTAGCTTAAGGCTTTTCCAGTCATAAACAATTGTCTTATTGCCCTATTATAAGATAGTGATAAATTATTTGTCTTAAAATGCTACTTGTCTTAGCTTGGGTTTTCAACACCAAACCGCAGCAATAATGCAGCAACGAAATATGAGAAGCCTGATATGGCATTAAGAACACCAAAAACTGCCATGACGGTTCGGTACCCGTAGAAGAATGTGAATGTACGACGCACCATATTGGATTGGACTAGGCGCAACAATCCGGAGATAAATTGCACATTGTTGAGTCGAATTTGAAACGATATGTATATTTTCCGTAACTCTATATCATGTAAATGCGTACTTTTTTCTGTACTGCCACTCAAACTTATTTTTCACCAGTGAACTAGGATTACAAAAGTTGGACTGCATATTGGTAATGGAATTTTAAAGATTAGATTCTTAACTGCACGTTCAGTTAAGGCGCAACAAAATGCTTTTTTGGGTCTTGTGTTCAAAAACTATCTCTCAAACTTTGGTCTTTGGTAAACGAAGCTTTTTTTCATCAGTCCCAAGATCTTCGGTGTACTGTACATTATCGAAGGGGTATGTGGCGAGTTTCGGTTGAGATTGGGACGAATGTCCCAAATCCGTTGAATGTTGTTAATCGGATCTCGCAGCTTCCTCAGCTTCCAAGCTCAAACATGTTAGACAATCTGAAAGAATAAAAGCCACCGCTAATTCTTTGGGAGAACAGCCCACTTAGGTTTCCGATTATTAAGGGGTATCAATTAAACAGTGTTGTGCTGGTATATTAAGCCATCTGTATAATACACGATGTTTATTTCCCCTTGTATTTTATAGTCAAGTAATGCTTAACACACGATTTTTACTAGACACAATATAATTTGGATAAACCGATTTAACATCTGAAATCCGTACACTTTTAATTTCATCATAGCCGCATTCCACGCCGTCAGGGGATATTCCAAGTAAAATGTACTGTTTAAGGTAAAGAATTAAAAGCGTTTAAGACAAATAATAAGTTAGCTCACCAATTGCCGTAACTTGATTGAAAACTGGTTAATTTGTATAGATCTCGTGGATTATATAATCAATAAAGGTTTAACTCCGAATAAAAACTGAAATCTGAAATCTTTAGACAGCTATCCCCAGCGTTCTTCCACATATCTGCACAGTTTGATTACAGCGAAGATGTGGACAACTAAAATCGTACAAGTGATTAAAACATATTCGAAAAACTCTTGGACACATCTTTATCGATAACAGTCCTATCTACGAAAGTCAAACGCAAGAATAACGACTTACTTATAATGAATATAGAACCAAAATAAGGAACAGCATAAAAGTAGCTCAGGATTTTTCCAAACTTGAAAAGGTTCTTCTTATTCTATCATAGGAAAATAAAAGATTAATAGTGATTCGACATGGTTTTGATCGTTACTTGCCATTCTTACACCAAGCATCATCATTAATCCAGCGAAAAGATAGCATAGTCCTAAGAGAAGCGCGAAAACACCGTAAGGGGTATAATCGACGGAGTAATACCACGTGCCCACGCGCCCTCGGATTAACATAATGATTCCAGATAGCACTGAAAGGGCACCCCATACAATGCACCATATTGGATAGAACTTGGCGGAACACGAAGGTGTATAGTTGTCACAATTGCACATTTTGAAGTCGGATCTAACAATAATTTTAAAACCGTTTCCGTAGCAAAAAACTTTATTTTATGTGTGTACCGTATGCTGTGCCGAGGTAAACTGGCCTATATTCATTCGTAACCCCCTGAAATGCCTGCCCCAGTGAACTGAGATCCGAAATTAGTTCTGAGACTTTATTTACGCAAGTATTGTGGCGATCCACTTACTCAGCTCTAGCATAGGTACATGTACATGGGCTATAAATAATTTAAAGTATTTGCGGAGACCACTGGACCCCTGGACTCCTGGACTCCTCCGCGCTGGCTACTGGCTACTGCCCTCCAGTCCGCTGCACGTTGTCGAAGGGCACAAGAATGCCGGGTGGTCCGCCAAAGCGGCTCTCTGTCCGCTGGTTCGCGCTTCCTGTTGCGGACTGGGGTTCCCTGTGCTCCGCCTGCTGGTGGATGGGCTGGAAGGGGCGAGGCTCCGCCTGGGCCTTGGGCGAGAGGACGCCGGTGGGTGCTCCGAATCCGCCGTTGTAGCGACCTGGGTTCACGGTGGGCCTCGCCCTGTTCGCCTTTATAATGCTGCTGAACTCGTGCTGGTTGCCGGCCACATAGATGTCGGAGCTGGCACTTGCACTCGGGTTGGGGCCGCTGGGACTGGTCGTCTGTGGACGCAGGAGCCCCGCTGGAGCTCCGAATCCACCAGTGTACTTTCCGGTGTTCACAGCTGGTGACACAGGCTCGGCTGGAGAAAAAGGGACAACAATCGTAGGCTTGTTAACTTGGTTTTTCTATTTGGTTACATTTAATTTGAGTTTGTCTCCGATGAGCAAAGAAAATACAGAAATAATATTTACGAAAAAACTCGCTGCTCTAAAGTATCCTTTTAGAGAAAAAGGTTTCCTTGATTTTTTTGCGGCACATCGATTTTTTGTTCTGTTCTCAAAATTAATTCATAGTTGTATAAAGTGTATGTAGACTTAAAAAAAATATGTTGATAAAACTCGTTAAATTCAATAGAAGATTTCACAACAATATCTCCAAAATTTACTAATCGTGTATTATGGTAGAATAGATAATATCTACTACTGTATAAGATCCTACATATTTTTATATAATTTATGACAGGTTTCCTTTCCTATCAATACCTGGTCCACTATTCAGTTGCATTTTCGAAATAATTCGTTTGCTTATTTCTATCTAACTTAATTTAAATACCACTTGCATTTTGGAAAATTGTTGGACTCGAGACTATCACAGTTTGAAAATGAAACAAAACGATTCCCATTGGAACTTACTTTTCCGCTGGTTGCTGGTGACCGGCGTGCTGATGACCTTGCCCTCGTCGCTCTTGGTGTACTCCACCTTGCTGGGCGGGAAGGGCTCTCCGGCGGAGGTGCTGGAACTGCTGGCCGGTGGCTCGAAGCGGGCTGCAAAGGATGTGGGATGGGTGAGTTGTCCGGGATTGGAGTTGGAGGAGCCGGCGAAGGAGCCGGAGATGGAACCGGCAGTGGACTCCGAGTGGTCAGCGGGCGGAACGAGGACCTGTGGTGGTTCCTCGCTGCTGCTGGTGCCACTGATGCTGCTGCCTGGAAGCGGAAGCGTGACTTTGGATGGAAAAGCGGAGGAGGCGGTTGGGACGTTAGGGAGGCGTGGCGGGTTGGTTGGGATACGGGTACTGCTGCTAGCTGCTGCTCCTCCGGCTGCTGGTCCAAAGTTGTCCGGGTCGAAAGGCACACCGGGACCCACATCCGGATAGTCGAAGTCACGCAGCCAGGCGGGGATCGTGGCCGAATCGAATGGGTTGCCCGCATCCAGGGTACTCGCAGTGGTGCTCCTCGAATCCTCTGACGGGTTATCTGCGTGGTGGGTGGTGGTTGTGGTCAGTTTCACTGGCGGTGGTTCTGGGTGCGCTTGGGTGCTGTGGGTGGTGGGTGCTGTTGGTTTTAGTGTTGTAATGGGTGCTTTGGTGGTTCGCCGCGTGGTTGTTGTGGTTGTTCGTGGCGTGGTTGTTGTGGTGGTTCTTGTCGTTGTCGTCGTTGGTGCCGCCGTAGTGGTTGTGGTGGTTGTTCTTCTGGTGGTTGTCGTGCTGGGCCTGCTGGTGGGTGGTGGCGTCAGCTGAATGTTGCCCAGATCCACGAAGGGCTCAAAAGGTGGCTCCAGATCGTTGGCCAACGTGTGGTTGTACTTGTCGTTGTCGGCGGGCACTTCGAAGGTCACGGCCACATCCAGATCCGGATCGGTGACCTCCTGCAGCCAGGTGGGCAGGGTGTAGGCGTAGGCCTCCTCGTTCTCCAGGTGGTAGAAGGTGGCGGGATCCTCGGTGGTGCCAATAGTTAATGGAGTGGTGGAACGGGTCACTGGCTTCGGAGTGGTTGTCGTAGTGGTGGTTGTGGTGGTGGGTCTCCTGGTGGTAGTCGTGGTGGTGGTTGTTCTCCTGGTGGTGGTGGTGGTGGTTGGTGCCTGGGTGGTGGTACTGCTGCTCCTGGGTCTTAAGGTGGTGCTACTGCTCCTGGTGGTGCTGTAGTGGGCCGTGCCACGTTGGCGGTTGGGGAAGCGACCCGGGTTGCTGGATTGCGTGGTGCTGCCCACATGGGCATTGGTGCCATGATCCGCTGGTCCGTCATGGTGCTCCTGATCCTGTGGTGGTGCCACTGGTGGTGCCACAGGACTTAGGGCATTACCGCTGCTCAGGCTCAGCCTTATATTGTGACTGATGGGATCCACAATGCCCTGGACCTTCTTGGCCGGCAGCTGTTGTGCCTCTGTGATGATGGTGGGCTCCTGTAGCTGCTCCTCCTGGCTGTGAAGGCTGTCCTGATCCTGGTGCGGTGGCAACAGATCCCAGGCAATCACACTGAGTGGTGCTCCATCGGCAGCCGGCTTCCATTCCACTGGTCCGCCGATATTCGCATCCTGGCGCTGTAGCTCCAGGATGTAATCCGGCAGAGGGCTGGCTTCCTCCTGCGGCAGAGGCACCAGCTGCGCCTGCTCCACCTCCACATCCCCAGCGGTGCTGGAGGTCGTCGTGTCGGATGAGGGTGGATCATGGTGGGGCGGTGTTAGTGATGTGGCTGGAAGTGGTGCTGGTGCAGATGATGCTGTGCCGGAGAATGAGTTCCGAATTGGTATCGGATTCGGTTTCTGTTCTGCACTGGACTGTGGTGATTCCAGGCCCACAGCGATGGCATCTGGTTGGAGAGGATTCGGATTCGTTGTTGAGTATTTCGAGCAATTCGCGGGGGTTTTGGATCGGTATTGGGACGCGGAAGTCGGACAAGGGCTGGGACTAGAAGGAAGGCCAATCTGGGTGATGGGTGAGTCTGAGTCCCCGAAGGGATTCAGCTTGATCAGGGAGTAGGCGGGCGGGGCGTGGCGGTTAGTGGGTGGTGCGATGGGGAACTGGCCGCCCAGCAGATCGCGTTTGGCCAGCTTGTTAGTGGTGCTAATGGGTGGTGCAGCTGGTGCGGTGCGGGTGGTGCTAGTGGTTCTAGGTGTTCTAGTGGTTCTAGTGGCTCTAGTGGTGCTACTATATCTACTGTTTGTGTGTGGTGCAGTCAAGGCAGTGTTTTTTGTGTCGTTCTTCGTCCTGGTATCCGTTTCCGTTCTGCTGGTGGCACCGCTGGCAGCCGCTGTTCCCTTGGTTGTCAACTCACCAATGTGCGGCGGCAGGAGATCGTCGGCCGGCCGCCGGATCTCCGTGATCCCCGATGCGTAGGTGGGTATCTCGAACTGAACGCCCTGGGCACTGACCACCTTGCGCCCATCGGGCGTGTCAATGGGACGCAGTGCGTCGATGGGGTTGCCGTAGCTGTCGATGGCCTTAGGGCCAGCCCCCTGCTGGCCGGAGGGGCTGAAGGTCACGTCCGGCTGCAGCAGCGGCGGCTGCAGCTCGCGGGCGAAGGGCGACTCGCGCACATCTGTTGGCGGGGGAGCAGAATGTGGTGGGTTCGTTCAGGCTGCTACTGCTCATTGGAAGCGATTTGGAAGCGAGGAGGCAAGTGGAAGAGGCAGATGACAGATGTCAAGTAGCAGGTGAAAGTGGGTAAATGACAGGATGAGCCAATGAGATGACGAAAGAGAACGAATGGACCCTAACCCTAACCTTACGTGTTCCGAAGTAAAATATTTATAATCTCAAATAAAGTTTGAAATTTGCAAGGCTCTTCGTTTGGTCTTGTATAATTGTATATGTAATGGAATTTCCCTTTTTGTAATTTACATAAAAGCTTTTGGATACGATATCATGATTTTATATTTAACAATTTAACAGCTACTCTTGGCTTTTCTTTTTTCAAAAAAGTTTGTCACAAAATGTTTTACTTTACTAAACTTTTTAAATAAGCAGCTAGCCTTGAGACTTTTTTCTTAGTATATTAATTATAGATCATCCTTCTTAAAAAATAGTAAAGATTAAAATCTGTCTAAATATTTTCCTAACTGAAGGGCTGTTTTTCAATTGAACACGATGGGTGTCTTATGGTGGCGGAGGAGCTTATTCGGTGGCTATGCCGGTGGTGCTGGTGATGCCGGTGGTTGGGTGACAGATGAGGCAGCTGTGGGCGGCTCTTGGGCAATTTGGCTGCCGCGGCGGCTGATTGATTGACATTGACTGAGATGGGCCATACATTTGCTTTGGCTTTTTTACCTTTGCTGTGGTAATGTGTGGCTGCTGTGCGGTGGTTACTGTTAGTTACACAAAGGTCCGCCACCAGATAAAATTCAATTTTAAAAGTTACCCAGGC